GATTCAGAGAAATAACTATGACACAAAATCAGTACTTGTCAAATATTTAAGTGCCTCCCTCCATTCCCCACCCTCCCTTGCAGTTAGGTTGGAGTCCTGTGACCAGTTCTGAGTAATGGGCTGTGAATGGAAGGGACATGTGCTTCTCCATCCATCTCCTCCCAACATAACAGCCTTCAAAGCTGTTTGTTCCAGATGGAGTTACTACAAGGGTGGAAGGTCACCTGCCCCAAATCAAACTTCACGAGGGTAAGGAATAAACCTTTCTTGTGTTAGGTCACTGAGATAATGGGGTTTTATTATTGCACCAGTTAGCTTTAATTACCCCAATTAGTATAGAAGTAAATAGCATCTATTGTATGCTCTGGTTAGTAAAATGTGTACCCGGTAAACGTAACCATCCTCCCCTCAGAGCAATGCTACAACAGGGAATGAGCTGGTTTGAAGTAAGATACAAAGTTCCATTATTAAAGGTGGGAAATTTATATCTAGAGTTTAAGAAAAACAGAAACTAATTTATCATATGCATGGAAGATACCATTGAAATCATGGAAATGCTTGGTATCTCCGAGGGAGAGGGTAAAAATAGGAGGCAAGAGAAGGGAATGGAAGGAAGAGAAGACATGGACTTTCAAGGTAATCTCTGGCATGGAAATCCCAGTCCAGGGAAAGAGCATGGAGGTGTGGGAGGTTTTCATGTGCTGCCATGGGTCCTCGAAAGGTCATATGGTGGAAAGCCAGCCTACTGAGCCCCTCCCCGCAGGACTGTTGTATGAGAAAGAAATGAACCTCTTTTCTGTGAAGCCTCTGAAATTCATTTCTTACCACAGCCTTGCTGGCTTAACTACTGCTGTTACTGCTCCTGCCCCTCTGGCTGCAGCAATACACTGCCTTTGCTGCTATCTGGGGTGAAGAGGTAACCACCAAAATTACTGGATGCAGAGCCACGCTGTGCTGCTAGATCATCACTAGCAAAATGAATGTGTCACATGCCACACTTAAAATTTGGTTCCAAACTCAGGCCACACACCTGTGCCTTTCGTGGGATGAATTTAATAAACCTCCATAATGGTAGCTGCACGGAGGTCTGCGAAGTGTAGGTTTTAACATTGGCGCCCCAGAGCTTGAGACAGATTAAGGCAAACTAAAGTTTTCTAGGGAAACTAAGCAATTCCCCTAGGACTGTCCTACTCTTATACGATGGGAAGAGATCATGTAGAAGCCAGAGAATGCTCAGAGAAGTGGCCTGTCAGCATCTCTCTCTTCTAGCGGTGATGGCTATGAATCTCAGTGTTTGTGTGAACCATACAATGCCTTTCTAAATCTCTCTGTCATAACATTCATCAGGTTAAGTCTGAACATTCAGTGGCCTGTAATTCTATTGTCAGGAGACCATGTGTGATACAGAAGACTTCTGGAAAGTGGTATTTTATTACCATGATCCTCACTGAAGTCATTAGCCAATTTTAATGGCTCCAGAAAGCACAGCTAGCTTGAGGCTTCAAATGTGCCAGTTTATATCACTTACCTATTTTGAGGAATTACTTCCCTTTTTCAAAGAAAACGTAAAAGCTTTCCAGTTAACCTTGGTAGAGAGCACCCCACGTCACAGTGTCTAGAAGAATACTTACTTATTGAGTACCCACTGTGTACCAGACTCTGTTTAGGTGCTAGCGATACAATAGTGATCAGAATAACAGCCCTGTTTATAAGGCCCTTACCTTCTGGAGACTTTATATCATAAAAGAGTTGCTTTTGGTAAAGCAAATGAACATGGCTATGAAAGACATCTGAAAATTTGTAATTTCTTATTCCATAATCCAACGTGCCTTTACTAAAAAGAGATCCTTGAAAGGACATGCAAAATAGATATAAGTCCTGGTCTTGGGGGATGGAAAAGGTGCTCTTTTTAAAAGTTTTGCTAAGTCTCTACAGCAGATATTGTCGGTCCCCATGCATTCCCTTGACCTACCCAGAAGATCACTTGCAGATAGTACCTATAAATACCAAAGACTTCCTGTGTCTCTCCGTGGGGCTTTCTCTGGCTGCGCTGCCTGCCAGGGAGTCAATGTCCCAGGGTGCTACCTTTGTTAAAGGATAAGTTTCCCAAAAAAAGGTAAAATAATGACTTTCATGCAAAATAAAATGAACAAGGGTCAAAAATTTTATTTAAATCACTATTTGATGAGGGAACTAATAAGATGTTCCAACTGGTTCAAAGGAGAACTCAAAGTGCCACGCATATGTGTGAAGACAAAGAATCTGAGGTGAATTTATAAACAGATGCAAACTGGTCAATATCCACAGGGCTATAGTCAGTTGCATTCACTGCATGTCTATGGATAAGAATTATCTGCATCACTATCTATTTTCTACAACTTAGACTCATAAAATAACTCGAGGACCATCATAGACAGAGATGGCCTGGATCAATGAGCTAGGTGAAACATCCACTAATCTTTTTTGCCCAGTTCAAACTCATTCACAATTTTTTCTGACATTCTCAACCAATGAGGGATAGGATTTGGTGGTTGTATGTCACAGCATCCTTGTCCTTCAATGAGATAATTCTGAGATGTGAGCCCCAGTGGCCCACAGCAGTAAATTATTTGTTAACAAAAGTTTAATTGGCTTACCTCCCTTTGCTAGCTCACTTCATTCCCTCAGAGTTCTTCCTGGAATAGGCTCTCCAATAAATTACTTAGACCCAATCCTTGTGTCATGGCCTGCTTTTGAGGGAACCTAAACTAAAACAGGTTCCCAGTTTGTGCATTTAACCACTGTTCATAGGTTGAGAGAGATTTTTGTCTTCAGAATCTCAACAAGTGGGACATAGGAGGTTCCATGAAAGAATCAGCCCACCTGCCCTCCTGGATCTGGAAGCTTGCCCCAACTGACCAGCAAGTTTCCTAACAAAGAGCATTAAACAAAGCTAACTCAGGACAATACTAAGCTTGTCTATGTATATTGGGAACATCGAGGTCCTTGGAACACCGACGTCAGTATGGAAACTTGTAGAATTCATAGGTGTACCAACAGTATCTAGTTTGTTTGGACATTTGCTGTTACTTCTGCTTCTGCTGCTACTGGTCCACTTCCACCAACATGTCAAGCCTAGGAGTAGAAGGTCATGATATCCATGCACAGGCCCGAGACAAGGAAGCTGTACATTAACGTGTGAAAGTATATTTCCCTGGGCCATGCCTCGGAGAAAGAAAGGAGGCAAATTTTGTCCTGATAAAATGTCTAAAACATCTTTTAATTTTTAAATTGTGTTGACTACCATGAGTGGGTTGGCAAGATATGAGCAATGTTGATTCCATTTTTGGACCCAGAAGGCCTCCCCGGAAACTTTCATCTCTGAATTCCATGTTAGATGTTAAATGATGGTCCTTTAGAAGCAGAAAAATCCCATACTAATAAGGAGTTAGCAACAGAATTCTGAGGAACCTTCTAGTTTGTAAATACAATCAATATCATCCCTTTATCTGCCCAATGTAAAAGAAGCAAAAACACACAGCTCATTTCTGTTCTTCATGTTGGGAAAAAAAGTGAATATGGCTCAAAAGACCGTGGTTATCTTGCTAATATCCCAAGAATAAAAATAACTTTAGTTAAGTTTTTTTAGGAACGCACAATATTTTGAAATATTGTGAATATTTGAATGCTAGAAGGGGTGCAGTAATTTAAATCTCCTGGAGAACTTTCACACTATACCCCCCCAGCCCCAGAGAGTCTGGTATAGCTCTCACACCCCCATTCCCACCCCACAGGGTTGCGATTGGGCTGTGCATTTTGAAAAAGAGCTTCCAGTGAGCGAGAGAATGAAGACCTCCAAGGAGAACCAAGGTTTAGAGTTTGCTGCATGATGACAGAAAAGATGTGCATTTTTAGGGCAACTACTGAAACCAAAAGAATGAATAATTGTGGAATTCTGGAACATGCTAGGAAGAGATTTTTGCAGTGAGCCAGCAAAATGTCCCTGTGCCAGTAGGGCTCTCTCCTCAGGTGGTCCTCAATGCCAGAGATGCCCTAGTCTGTGGTAAGTCTCTGCACCATAGTTTATAAGATGTAATGTCACCTGTTAATTGTCTACATGGTGTGACTTCATGGACTCAGATTCTGCTGATGTGGATGAGCTATGATAGGTTTCTGTCTGTCCTCAGTTCTTGTGAGAATGCAAGTATTGAACTTATAAGGAAAAAGTACGAACTTGAATGAGTTAAAAATGAATGCTAAAGTCATAGAGTCAGTGGACAGTACTAAACAATTCATAAGCTGTGAATTGTCCAAAAATCACATCAAGTACGATATGGTTTCATGGGAAAAAAACCCGGTTTACAAAACCAAAGGCAGTGTGATCCCCATTTTGCATTTATTTGCAGATAATGTCTATGTGTTTACAGATATGTGTGAGAGGAGCACATGGAGGGCCCATGAGCAGAGATGGGCATATGTGTGTTGGGGGAGGGGAATGTGAAGGTGAGGGTGTTACATGGGCAGTATGTGTGGAGTGTGAAAAGGAGCATGAGGTGTGTGGGGTGTGTGTACAGACATGTGTGTGCAAGTTCTCACAGTCCTGGACACAGTGGAAACTATAGTGGGCATCCAGACTTCCAGAACCTAAAAGATAGGTATTGAAGGCAAAAAGGGAATGGAAGGGCTCTACCCACCCCCATGTCTGAACCTCCCCCAAGTAAAACAACGTGTAAGAGCAGGAACTTTGGAAGCGGAACCTGGTTTTAAATCCTAACCCAACATTCACTAGCTGAGTCATCTTGGAAAGGTTAGTTAACCTCTGGACATCACTTTCTCATCTGTAAAATAAGGAGACTTCTTAGCATCCATAAAGGGTTGAGCACAGTGTGACACATAGCAGACATTCAATAAGTGGTAACTTAAAAAAATTCTAGCCCGTTGCTCAAAATGGATCCCAAAAGAAAATTGCACCATGGCAACAGAATGCTATCCAAGAAAGCAACTTTTAAATAAGTCACATCCACATTCTACAGCTTCTTTATTTTTAACAGGGTTTTTCTTGGAGTGGGAGAACAGAGTTTACAAACAATTCTTGATTACTTATGGCTCTTGGGACTAAAAGTAGAGTGAAAACAAGCAAGCCACAGAATGAGGTTCCCCACTGATTTCAACCTTTAACAAGCCTTCTCCCTTGTAAGCAGGTAAGCTGACTGAGGCTGGCCGCCTCCCCGTGTCTGGTCCCACCCCCTGACTGAGGGGCGGGAGGCTGAGAACTGGCCACCACGCCCAGCAGGCGCAGCCTGGCAGGCGCAGCACAGCAGGAGTGCAAGTGCAACCGGCCCCCGGGGTTGGTGCTAAGTCTGCACCTGGAAGCCTCAGCACCTCTTTAGCCTTCAACATCAAAATCAATCATGATTTTAAGCATTGTGGGGTTTTCTTGTAATTATTGGAGATTTAGCAAATAATTAGTTTGGAATTATAAAGCAAATATTTAGCATAAATATGAGACTTATGTTACTTTACAAATCGTCTACAGAGCTTCTCAAAACTGTTAAAAAGTAATTCTGAAATCTTAGTCACAGTCACCCAAAGATTTCCTCCCCCTACAGCAAGAAAGTTCCCGCTATAAGTCAGGGACAATTACTAACTATCATAAGAATAATGCAAAGTTGTCAGTGTTCTTAAAAACAAAAGTAATACACAGCTCTCATCTTTGCTTTACTTTTTTATCAGCCTCTATAGCATTTCCCTGCTAATGCTATTCCCGCTGCGGAGTTACTCTGCTTGAATAGTGCTGAAACCCTCAACACTTCCAACTGCTGGGTGCTGCACAGCAAAGACTCCCTAAGTGATGCCTGGCTACCTCAGGAGGCCTCAGGCTCTGGGGGGAGCTTTCTGGGGACTCTCATAGCTGACACCGCCGATGCCCTCTAGTATATTCATGGGCAGAGGAAACACGATGGTGGAGTTCTTCTCAGTGGCTACGGTGGTTAAGGTTTGCAGGTAACGCAGCTGGAGGGCTATGGGGGACTCGGCCAGCACCATGGAGGCTGACTTCAGAGATTTGGAAGCATTCATTTCTCCTTCTGCTGCAAGGACCTAAAAAGACAGAAACGAAAGAGTTCAGAAGTCAAAGTTTACAACCATGACTCATGCTTTCTTTCTGCAGTCCAACCAAGACCTCTCTTCCAGCCCCGTCCCCTCTTTGCCGCACCTGTTTCATCTACTTACTTCTTTGGCAAGGATAAGAGTTGCACATCCTAATGTGATTAGAGAAATTTGAGGGGGTTGCAGGAAGCAGGGAGATTTGTTACAAATTACGACTCCTTAGATTTCATTTTCGAACAAAATAAAAGCGCCGTCTTTAACCCAGACGAACACAGGGCCCTCCACCCTAGCGATGCTCTTGAATTCCTTTCAGAGCCTCACCACCCACTGCATGAGTTTTCAGACAAGTCTGAAATGCAAAGCCTCCTACTGGCTTTTTTCTGTCATTTTTGCTTATCGTAGGAGAGTTTTTAATTTCATTCTGTTGCCAACTGAGTCTTATTCTTACAATGTAAGCATTGTCTCAAGTTCTCTCTGCTCTTGATTACAAGCAGCAGCAGGTGCCAGTCTGATAACGCTTGCTAGTTGGGAGTCTCTTAAGCACTCCGCTCCTCTTCCAGTTCTCTCACTGCCCGTGTGCAAAGCACCCTCCCATCTGTCATAGCTGAGTACACTGCTTGGAAGCTGCTGGAGCTTAGCAGATAAAACAGAGATGGCTAAGGAATGAGCACAGGGGAAACCTTCATTGGCTCACAAGTAAGATTCTGAAGAGGGTACATGAAAGTCTTCTAGTCTTAATTGGTTTCTGATAATTCAGAAAACCCATCCACACAGGCATGAAGGCTATAGATCCCACAGATGCAAGAACACTTAAGGCCAGGGTGTTTGTAATTCTAGGCTGGATCGTATATAATCACCCCTCAATTCATCCAGTACACTTAACATATTAGAATGTTGATGCTCAAAAGACGAGCAGCAAGTTGGCTACACCAGAATCGCTGGCTTTATAAAATGCAGCGTCCTGGGCCCACTCGAGACGCTGCTCAAGGAGTCTGAGGTGAGGTCTGGGAATTGGTGGTTGCTGAGTTCAATTCTCTCTAGGAAACGCTGGTGGGCAGCCAGCGTTGGGACCCACCTTGCTAAGTCTCTGAGCAGGTTGCCAAGTGCCCCCTTGACCTAAGACCTGTTACCAAGCTTCCTTGAGGTACATCAGGCCGCCCATTACCTTTTAATTCAGGGGCAAATTCTCAGTAAAAACTGTGAAAAAGAAACCCTTTCTTATCAAAATAATTAAGGGGGCCTGCTCTTCCATTCAAGCTCTATCCTTGAGTGCTCCAAGGCGAGGCAGCAGTCAACAGAGTAGTCCTTACCCTGGCCCTGGCTTCCCGGGTGGCCTCGGCCTCGGCCGCCATGGACCTCTGCAGCTGTACAGGAATCCGGACATCTTTGATTTCCACTCGGGCCACCCGGATCCCCCACAGCTCGGTGGCATCATCAAGTATGGTCTGTTTCCAAATCAAAGGAAAGGACATTGATCAGGTGACAGGTGATGTGATGTACGTTTCTGATATGTCTCACATCTGCAAGGTAAATTCCTCTTCTCCTTCTCGTTTTATGTTTACAGCATTTGGAGTGAGACAGACAGTTTGGGAAAAGGAAGAGCATTTCTTATTGCTCACTTCCTGGAATTGAAGTGAATCCCAGGAAGGATTCAGGAACAAAACTCGATAGATCTCTTAGTGGACGGTCTCGCAGCAGGATTCACTCCTAAACTATCCCTAATGAAGTATATGCTATCTGTCTAGATTTGAGCAAACACCCCAAATTTTCTTGTCACTGACACCAAGCGGGCAGCAATGCATAGACTTCTCAGAAAGATCTGGATTTTGTCCTGGCTCTGCCATTTGTACCTGTGAATCATTGGGCCAGTTTACCTCTCTGAAGCCCATCTGTTTAGAGCAGTTGCATGAGTGTGTGAGTGAGTGTGTGTGGGTGTGTGCATGCACACATGCATGCACATGGGGGATGCTTTGAAATGCTGACCTTTGATAATCACTGAGTTAAAAAATGAATTAATTAAAGATGTAGGCTATTAGTTCTTGGTGTCTATACCTGAATGCTATGGGCGATCTCTTCTCTGCCAGCTAAGATTTGGGACAAGGTCTGCGTCCCCAAGACGTTTCTCAGAGTGGTCTGAGCCAGCAGAAACGTGGCTTGGTGGACATCGTTGACATTAGCCACGGCCGAGACAGCACTATAGATTCTGTAGTAGACGACTCCATCCACTTGAGTAGTCACAGAGTCTCTGGTGAGGATCTGGAGAGCAAGAACAGGGAAAAAATCACATGTTTATGACTTTTGCAACGATAGACAAAGTGTCAGCCAGCCTGAGAGCCTCTCCACAGGAGGACGGCATTAATGACAACTCATGCCAGCAGCCACCAAAAACCCGTCCTGGCTTGAATATAATCGTCCTAGTGGATAACAAAATTCCTACATATGTGCGGTCTGTACCTCTCTGCGTCGCTTCATCTCAGGGAAGTCATATGTTCCGTAGGCAGAAGCCCCTGATTTGCCATAACGACAATAGGCACTTTCGTTTCAAAACATCTCGGTAGAACCTGCTGGAATTCTACCTTCTAAACAGAGCTACCTCATTTGTTTTCCCTGTTAACCAAAATCTTTTTGGTTTTCAGTTTTTATCAGACTTGACAAACAGCAGTGCTGCTTAGAAAACATAGATGGCACCAGAGATCATGCACTGTATTCAAATAAAGAAAAATCAGTTTAGCTTTATATAGGGGCTCTGCAGGAATCACTTTAAACAACACAGAGAGGAGCTTTGGAGCAACTGAGAAATTTCTGGTAGCAACCACAGGAGCAGAACCTAGAACTCCCTTCTCCTGCCTAGAACTGTCTATTAGGGAGTCAGAAAAAGCCCAGGATAGGTCACTGAGCCTCCCAAACTGTCTCATGGCTGGGGCTGAACCCCAAAGTAAGGACTTGGCAGTTCCCACCGGCGGCATGCAGGCATCATTGTTGAGTCTTGATTGAGTTTACTGGACCAGAGAGAAGAAAATTAACATTTCCTCACAAATGTTGATTTCCTTTCTTCTCATCACCTTTGCCCTCCCACATCCTAGGGCCTACTCGCATGCTCTTTCTTCTTCCTGCAGCAGTTGGTTATCAGAGAGTGACGTGCTTATTAGTAACTGTTTCTCTCTCCTATTGCCCAGTTACTGTTTCTGTTCATTTATTTGCAATACTTTAAGAATTGAAAAGAATTGCTTGAAATGCAAATGTGGATGGGCCCTGGACAGTGTCTGCTCTTTCCCCACAACCACCCTGCTTTCTTGCATCCAAACACAAAAAAAATTTAAGGCAGAGATGAGTGAAACAGATATTACTAAAAAATCTCTGAGAAGGTGATGGGGAGGATAATACCGTAACTAAGCACTGCCCTCCGCCAAATTAAACTCAGCTCTTCTGTGCAATGATTGATTTGGCTCTTCTGAGCATCTGCTCTGCCCTTCTCCATCCCAGCTTCTCTGCCAGCTGAATCCCTCCTCTCTCCTCTCTCAGGCTTTCTCACACTCGGTCATTCCGTGTCTTCTAGCAATGCAGCCCTTGCCCTGGCTTCAATCTCACTTGACAAAACAAAGCCCAGTAGTTTGAGAAGCCACGTAGGCCTCCTGAAGCAGGGTTCTATGGAAATTCAGTTCATCCTCCCCCTTAGAGTTTACAAACATACTGTAAAATTTCAATTGTCCATGTAATGGGAAAGATGTTGGTCTTATTTCTAGTAACATATCTTTAACCAGTATTACCTCTTGTGGAGGAATGTTGCAAGTAACAGTTCGGAGGTCAACTTTGACAAACACATCTATGCAGGGTAGGACCAGAATCAAACCTATGAAAAAGAAAATGTGGGTTAAAATTTCACCTTATTGAAAGTAACTACAACAAAACATCTCCTAGCTATCAGAGACAATATTTTCATGGGACTATAGACGTTTCTCATATGATTTTCAATATGTACACCTACAACTTTGGGGAAAATTATTTCTTCCCATCTGTCAATGACTAAAGAAAAGTGGTTCCCTAGGAATTAAAATCCTTTGGTAAAAAGCTAAAGACCTTTGACATTTAATTTTTAGATTTGATTTGATTTGATTGATTGATTGATTTATTAAAGATTGGCACCTGAGCTACCAACTGTTGCCAATCTTCCTTTTATTTCCCCTGCTTTTGCTCCCCCAAACTCCCCTACTACATAGTTGTATATTTTTTAGTTGTGAGCCCTTCTAGTTGTGGCACGTGAGACGCCACCTCAGCATGGTCTGACCAGCGGAGCCATGTCCGCGCCCAGGATCCAAACCAGTGAAACCCTGGTTGCCAAAGCGGATCGCGTACACTTAACCATTCAGCCACGTGGCCGGCCTCTAGATTTTATTCTCAAAATACTCAATCTAGGAGATGGCCCGGTGGTGTAGCGGTTAAGTTTGTGTGCACTGCTTCTGTGGCCTGGGGTTTGCCAATTCGAGTCCCAGGTGCAGATCTAGCACTGCTTATCAAGCCATGCTGTGGCAGGCGTCCCACATATGAAATAGAAGAAGATGGGCACAGACGCTAGCTCAGGGCCAATCTTCCTCAGCAAAAAGAGGAGGATTGGCAGCAGATGTTGGCTCAGGGCTAATCTTCCAAATAAAATAAATAAATAAATAAAATACTCAATCTACTTCTATCTAAGTATTGAATTTAACATTAATTTGAAAGGATATTTTGGAAATTAGTTTCCCTGTATTAAATGTCTCTGTATAAACGATTGAGTAATAGATTTTTGACCTTGAAAATCAGTGCCTGTCAACATTCATTCCTCTACAATAGTACTGAAGGAATGTTAGAATTAAAATCTTCCCAGGATTTCAGATTCCCTAAAACCACTATATTGTAGAACTTATAGTTTCTCCATAGCTGTCTTCTAGTTCAAATACAATGGCACTCTCCAGTTGTAAGTACTTTTATTTCCCTCTGAGTTGGGAAGTATTTGGATTGGGCTGGGTGGGGGAAGGATGGGGATAAGAAAACTCCTCTGAGGAGCCTATGACTCCTTAGCACTCCCCTGGTGAATGATCTCTCCAGCGAGAGTTACCAAGATTAGAACCACAAGGCATGTCAGCAAGAAAAGGACACCACTCCATTTTCATTCACCAGAAAGACTTTATGCTACTGTTATTATTTTCAAAGAAGAAATAAGTTTCTAGGTTGAGTACCCTGCAAAGGCTGGTAGCATCAACAGAAAACACTGCTAAGGGGCTTTCTTTGTTTTGGTCTCTAAACCTTTCTGAGACTTATGGTGAGAATTACTGCCTAATTTACTTCCTTTTTCAGTGCCAGGTCACAGGTTAACGTCACGGCCCCGAGAACTAGAGAGAGTTAAGTCCCAGCCCTACCACTTACTAGCTTGTGACCTGGGAACATTCACCTAACTTTCTGAGCTTTAGTTACCTAACATATATACATATGTAAGATGGTAGTGAAGATTAAGCTTGATTCAACATGATAATGAAATAAAGTACTTAACACTGAGCCAGGTATGTATGAAGTGCTCCAGAAGTGGCAGCCCTTATTATTAATACTTTTATTATTAAACAATAATTTACTATTTAGTAAAGTGGAGAGATTTTCCATTAGCAATTTGGCTTGTTTCCCTCTGGGTTTGTGACATTCTGAGGTAACTCATTAGCCCCAGAGACACGTATGACGAGAATAGTTATCCTGGGACATTTAGTGGAAAAATCTTCTGGGAAAATTCATTTAAAAGAGATAAATTTTTCTCTAGAGTCCTCCAGGTTATGGCTCTTCTACTTCTCCCAAATCCGATTTTATTCTCATTTATAGTCTTAGCCCCACCAGATGCAACATAACCAGGGAGAGGTCAATCTTGTCTGTTATACCTCAGTTGGATGATTCTAACACTCCTGTTTTGACAAACTCCTAAGAGCATCCATAATAAGTCCCGTCTGGCTTCTTTCTCTTAGATCCTTTATGAAATTGCACAAGTAGGATTATATGACTTGAAATGGCCAAGCCTCTTTCACAAGCTTCTCCTTTGAAGACTCTCACTTATTTTTTTTATGTCACAGATATCTGAGCGCCTGCCACCGTGCACGGCCAAGTGCAGCACAGACAGACAGTTCCAGTGTGCAAGAAAGTTCCTGCTCCCAGAGGTCTGACTGTCCATGGGCAGGAGAATGATTTTACGCAAACATTTCACAATAAGGGGCAGAAAATAAGTGTTATTAGAGAAGCATAGCTAATAACTGTCGTTTTTCATGTGTCTTCTAAGATGATGTTTTTGACAGCCTGTCTTTTCAAGGATATCAGAATTTATCATATGAAATTACCATTTTTATCAGTTAAAAACAAATGTAAGCTATTTCATATAGTTCAACTAAATATATACCCTCAGGTTATGGGTATTAAGTCAATAGCTTACTTCTAGGGAGTTTTAGCCCCTGAATCCACCGCACCCCCCCAAAAAATCCCATCCTTTTACAACATAAACAGTTTGGGACATTTTTCATTCTAAGTTTGTGAAGAAAGGACGGAAATAAACACTACGTTTGACAGACAAGTTGTACAATGGCTTCCAGCTCTGTTTCCATTAATCTACTTGCCAGGAGAGGAAATTACCTTTCACTTTTCCATTAGCTCTTTTCAAAGAGTGAGAATCAACAACCACCTCCTTGAATACTCTCCCTGAGTAACTTAATCACCTCCCTCGGCCATTTACTCCCTCCCCTCATTCTTCTGTCATTCTCTTAGTGGCCCAGGCAATAAGCGACATCCAGCAATGTAACCAGAGTCATTCTTTGCTCACATTCACTGAAACTCTCAGAAGGAGTGTTAGGAAACGGTCCAGATTTCCTAACTCTCCAACTACTGGTCTAGCGGTCACTCCCGTTAACTTGCGTAAGAGGACAGCATCCTTCAATTGTACAGAAAGGCGAGGGATCCAGCTTCCTGTGAGTTTTTATTGTGTCTCAATAGGCACTGCGAGGGAAAATATTGCTGGCAAGAGGAGTAGTAACAGGTGCCCATGATCTTTGTCGGGGCAGCCCTGGTGTCCTACCTGGCCCTTTGGCTTTGTCAGCTTGGATGCGTCCCAGTCGGAATACAACAGCACGTTCATACTCCTTAATGATCTAAGAGATGAAGGGAGAGCGTTTAGTCTTAATGGCTCATCAGCTCCTATAGAGAGCCCAATTTATTTCCCAGGGTATTACCTTCAAGCACATCCATATGGAGACAGGGAAGGTAATGATCATCAGCAGCAAAGAAAGGAAAAACAGGATCCAGCCACACACACCAAGCTGTTTACTGTTGATGCCTAGGAAATGAGAAGGAATCAGCCTGTCAGTGATGGGGCTCTTACAACAGGCATCCAGTCGTGTGGGTGAGGAAACCACCCAGAGGGCTGGCCAAGCCTGAAGGAACAGGAAGCAACCTAAATCCACACACACCCATGAACGCAGGAAACATGCACACACACACAAACAAAAAATATTCATTCAAGGTTTTAGATTAAAATAAACCTGTCACTTCCAAGGAGAGTCTTATAGCAATCGACAATAATAACTGCCATTACATGCCATGGTTTATTATTCTCAAAATATATAAAACAGTGTTACTCAGAGTGTGATCCATCGACTACCCACATCAGAATCATCAAGGTGCCATTTTAAAAGGCAGACCCCTGGGCCTGCAGAATGCTCCAGGTGAAATTCAAGGCAACCTCTGAGGTAGAGAGGTAAGTACTATTATCCCCAAAGGGAGACACTGTGGCAGAAGGAAAAACATTCTGAAGCGTCTTTAGGTATGAGTTTCTATGAGAGCTCCCTTACTTACCAATGCTGTGGCCTCAGGTAAGCCACTCAGTCTTTCTGAGCCTCCATTTCTTTGTCTGTAGGAGGGGGTTGAAATTACCTACCTTGAAGTGTTTGATGAGGATTAAATGAAATTATTTTTATTTGACACCTGGCCCAGACATCAACATCTGCATTAGTCAATGTGTATTACTACTGTTATTCCATTTTACAGATTGATGGATATTACAGAGACTTGCCAGACGTTGATACTTTACATTTCTGACTTTTCACGGAGTTTTGTTACATTGGCTCATTACCTTAGATGTCTTTTTGCTAATCACATATTACGTTAACAGGGACATTTTGCCCTAATGAGTATTGCCTTGCAATAACATGGGACTAAGTTCAAATCAAGTCTCAAATCTTGGAATTCTTGTTTGTAAAATATGCAGGTCTGGCCGACCCTGTTACTTTAGAATTTGTTATATTCACTATTTCACCTTCTTTTTAAACCTTGTTCATTTCGTTCTCTTCTCCTTGACAACCACCCCATCCTCCCCACTAGACTTCCTCCAGTTGATTCACCTTCTCCACACAAGCACTAGAGCTAATTGTATTTACTAGACATCTCCCAGATCATCACACAAACACCTTAGGCTCTATCTCAGTGAATGCCTTAACCATCCACGCTCTTGTCCAGGTTAGAGACACAGGGCCATCACTGCCTCCTCCCTACCCAACTGCAGAAGTCACGAAGTCTAACCAATACCACCTCAAATCCATCCTTACTTATCCATTTTACTGCTACTGACTTGGTGGTGCCCAGCCTATAAATTTATGAATATTTAGGAGGGTTCTAGGATTTTGCTCTTACAAACAATGCTGTGATGAATGAGTTTTAGTGTGTGTTTTTGTGCACTTGTATAGGATAAATTCTTAGCAGTGGAAGTGTTAGGTCCAAGGGATTAGTATTTATAATTTCGATAGACGGTAAATACCCTCCAAAGGTTTTGTACCAAACTCCACCGTTGCCAACAGTCCACTGTGACACTGTGCCTATTCACAAGCCCTGTCCTCACTAGACATGTCCGGTCTTCTCAGTTGTGACATTCTGACAGATGAAAAGTATCTAAGTTTTAGATACATACTTAGTATTAAAAACTTTTGTGTGCAAATGTCCTTTTATAGGCTCTAAATACACATAAAGATATACTCAGTAACAATAAGGGCTTGTCTGCATACACTAAAGTTTAAAGTCCTAAAATATCACCTTCCAAACCCTTGGACCACATTGAGATGGATCAAACTATCGCTTTGCGGAGTGGAAAGGCGTTTTGTGCATTCTCGTAGAATGTTTGTTGTATTTTATTTATTAGTGCTTTATTATTATTATTAATGACACAGCCTGTATATGTACATTCTCATTGCAAAAAGAAAAATATGCCCAAGCCATACAGATAAAACGAAAGTCCCCTCAACCATCCTCTCCTTAGTTCACTTTTATCTAGCAAGCTTCCATAGTAATCAATATATTAGCAATATATATAACATGTATTATCAATATATATCAATAGTTATCTGAACTTCCTTATAGAGCCATTCCTATGTATTTAAATGTATGTATCTACAATCAGAAAAATTTTGGTTTAGATTTGAGATTATGTGAGAAATGGCATCACACTGTATCTAAGTTTCTACTTCTTTCTTAACTGAATATATCTTGGAGATATTTCTGTGCCATTATGTACATCTACCTCATTCCTCTTAACAGTAGTCTACTATTCCATCCTAAACCTGCGTCTCAGTTTACTTAGTCGTTCTCCTGTCGAGCGACATTAAGATTACTGGCAATTTTGACCTTTACAAATGAGGCTGCAATACTGTGTTGGTACACGCCTCTCCGGAACAACCTACTCTTTCCTGGAATTTTGATAAAAGCACTGAGAAGGTAGCATAGTTCCTGCCACCTTTGGTGTGTTCCCTCCCTGCTGAGACTGCAGTATGTCGTATTCAGGAGCCTCGAGGTGCTCCAGGCTGTGACTTTAGCAATGCAGGGCACACAGGCAGCTGGGAATCTAACAAGCATAACCAGCTATGTTTTAGGCCCTGAGCAAGCCCTAGACATTTCCAGAGTAGCTACAGCCTTAACACCAAGCTGCATAAGCAAGTGTTTGTCACATAGAAAATTACCCTGACCTGCAGGAGCTCCTCGGGGGTCCCATCAAGGCCTTGCATCATTAATGCAAGCGAGGCTCTGTTAGGTACTAAATGTTCTGAGGGAGAGAGGAGATGAGGACGTGATTAATCTTCCAAGATTTACACCTGAGCATTAGAATGACCCAGGCCACTGCTGCGGGGAGAATTGTGGAGCCTGTGGGATGTCATTAGGTGCCACTTAAAGTGAGGCTGTGAGCACTGTTGTCAGCTTCCCCGCAGGGCTCCAGCAGCTCAGCCTGAGAGCCGCGCAGTGGGGGAAGCACAAAGCCTGCTTTTGCAGCTTCCAGCAGAGCAAATCTTTCAGCCAGCCTTCCCCCACCCCACCCCCTCCCACAGTCAAAACCGGGATGCTGTGCTGAGAAGTGGATTTGAGGATTACAATTCTGACTGAAAGGACATGCAGGGATTGTATTACAAAGGATCTTCAGAAATCTTCCATACCACCTGTGCTTCAACCTACACCGGCCTCCTGCCAGAGCATTTCCTTGAGGCTGAGGGGATGGTGGAAGGAAAAGGGGCCAACAAGCTCTCTGTTAGCCACTAAGCACGGAGCACATCTAATCATCTCCTGCTTTGTCCAAATCCATACATGTGCAATTTCGGTGGGCAATTATCCCAATGCCATAAAGCCATCATCATACGCTTACTTCGTCGTGGACAACTGGATTTTGCCACCCCGCAACAAATTGACCCAGCTTTCTCATTCATCCATTTAACAAATATTTTACCAGTTGTATGCCTGGCACTGTGCTAGAGCTGAGGATACAAAGAAGAATAAGACAAGGAATTTCTCATCAAGAGTTCAAGTCTAGAGGGGAACGAGCCCATAGGGACGGGTGGTCAGTGCTCTGCTGCGTGGTCAGTGCTTCCTTCCAGGAAGTGTACAGCTGGTGATATAAGCGGAGATTCCCGCTTGCATGTGGCTGTGACAAAGAACAACAGAATGTTTAGTCAACATCTTTCCCTCGATCAGCAAAGAGAAAGGTAGAGCCATCACCCACAGAAGCTGAGGCCCAGTGCTGCTGACGCTGGGAGAAGGACTTTGGGACTTCAGAGCTCACCAAGGCCAACCCTTCATTTTGCAGCCAGAAAGCTTCCTGGTTAGTGTTGTCATCATCATCATTTAATCTCTCCTTAAGTAAGGTGGTACCCACCGGTTCCACAAACTGACAGTAATTCATGTCTACCTTTATTGACTTCAGCAGTAAAGCAAAACCAAGTTTCACTTGTAGACGTGTGCCTCTGGAGCTTTGTTCTTGGCTCTTAGACACAGTTCAGAGCACCAGTGGAGACATGAACATCCTTTCGGATTAGGGATAAACACTCCAGGCAAGACTGATAACTTTGTGTGAGGCCAGGAAGGAGAGGAGAATATTCCAAATCACTGGCCCCACTTAGATGGCGTTGGAAGTGGAAATGAATTTTAGTAAATAAAAAAACAGGCCATGTGACTTGGTTGCCTACTTCACGACTTTGGCTTGGTTAACAGTATTTAACTATTAGATCAATACTACGTGCAACCCTTGCCCACAGATCTCTGTTACTGTAAATAGCCATTTCCTCCCTAAGCAGAAGTAGCCATTTAGGTCCTACAACATTCTAAAAACACCAAAACAAAATGATGCATGTTACACATTGGGGAAATGAAAATTAAAACCACCATGAGATAATAATACACGGCTTCCAGAATGCAAACATTAAAGACTGACAATAGCACATTTTAGCAAGGTGGTTGAGCAATTGGAGCTCTCACGTGTGCAAACTGATATAATCACCTTGAAAAACTATTTGGACATATCTACTGAAGCTAACACACACTTACTTTATGACTCAGTGTTCAACTTCTAAGTAATGCCTGAGAGAAATGGGTGCTGATTGCAGTGAAAAACATATTCAAGAATGTTCATTGAAATTTTATTCACAAAATCCAAGAAATGAAGGACCACTCAAAACTATCAACAGGAGAATGAATAAATAAAGTTGTGGTATGTTCATACAAAGGAATATTACTAGAAAGAGAAAAGACGAGGCTACTGCCAGATGCAAAGTATGGATTAATCTCATAGAAAAAATATTAGGCAAAATAAGCCAGACACACACAAGAGTACATACTTTTTGATTCCATATCTAAGAGTACACGTTGTATGATGTCACTTATATTGTATCACTTCACTCAAGAACAAGCAAAACTAATCTATTACGTTTGAAGTTAGAGTAGTAGCTATCTCTGGGTAGTGGGGTTGCTGGTGGTTGGATGTTATCCAGGAAGAGATGAGGGAACCTATTAGGGTGCTGAAAATGTCCCATATCTTGATCTGGGTGGTTACACAGACTTACACATATAGAGCCTGTGGAAATAAAAGAAGACCAACCAAATGAGAAAAGCAAAGGCTATTTATTCTGAGTTTGCTGTAGCAAGGGAGTCAGCCACCATCACCTGCATTTTGGCAGAGACACAAAGGCAGCAGAGGAGTGGGGAAGCTTTAGAGAAGAAAAGAGGAGACTCCAGGTGCGCCCTGTCTGGAGGCTGTGAGCCTAGGAGAGCTGTGGGCTAACTGGAAGCGGGGCATCCTATGTGATTGGTTAGTGTGCATTTGGGTGCTCTGACTGGTCCTAAGTTGGAAGCAGGGACAAAAAAATGAGGAAGCTGTTAGTTATGAATCAAGTCCTGGCCATTCTGGGCTGATAGTTACCAAAGTTATTGTTTACTTCCTGTATGGTTACTGGAGATGACAATCTGGTTCTTCTTGCAAGTCTGACTTATTGCAGGCTGGCTTCTTGGGCTGGTTATTGTTGATAAGGGTTTGGTTTCTGTGGCTGGCTGCTGCAGGTTGTGCACCAAAGTTCTTTTTTTATATATGGTCCAGCCATTGTCTATTTGTATATTCAATCTTTCAAGCCGAACACTTAAGACTTGTGCATTTATTGTATATTGTACCTCAATAAATAATTCAAATAAAGTTAGGAGAATATAAGGTCAGGCTACTTCTGAGGATGGAAAACTCACTGTTTGCTCTGCATTCTCCGAAAGAAGAGGAGAGAAAGAATGGAAAACCTTCAGCAAAGTCAGCCTGTGGACAGACGAGAGACACTGCTGAGCAGGGCTGGAAAGTGCAGGCCCCGAGTCAAAGGGCCATACATTCTAATTGAGACACCTCCATTTGAGAGCTAGAGGACATCTGGCAAGTCACTTTAACCTGCTTAAATCTTATCTCCTCTTCTGTTAACACGATAATAACTAGTTATGAGGATTAAGTAAATTACGTGGAAAGGAATTGTTAGCCCTGTCAGGAGGCCCTCTAGTCAGCCAAGCCACTGCCTAGGATTCCTAGAGCTGTATTTTGGTCAACACAGCCTAACAATTCCCTCCGCTGGATTAAATGTTAAATCAATTTTTCTGACCCTAGGCCCCTTTTCTTAGAGCATTTTCTTTAGAACACTTATCCTTGTAGATTCTTTCTCTGCCTCTTTGAGATATAAATATTTTTTAAAGTCTTTTGCCAGTTTTATAACCCAGTACTATCTTCTCAAGGACCTGGCAACTATTCTTTCAAAATGTAATCATCAAAGAAGATAGCACTCCCATCTTCCAGTCTCTGTGAGAGGGTAGGAGGCTAACTTCAGTGGGCACCTTGCTCCAAGTTGTAAAAATATCCCCACTCATAAAGATGTAAGTTTATTAGTAAACACAGATGGCCTATGACCACCCCCTAAGGTTCTCCAGCACTTTTCCACTAGCTCACTCCAGCCTTTAAAAACCCTAGACTGGTTTGTTTCAGTGGAGTTGGTTTAGATTGAGCTCTGGCCTCTCTCCTCTATTGCAATAGTTCTTGGCTGAAGTCTTTCTTGACTGTTTAACTTTGGTGCAATTTTTGCTGTGACGATTTACTCACTATTTTGTTTTATTTTTAATTTGTTTTGCTTTTACCAGGTAGGATTCTAAATGTCTGTTGTGGATATTCTGGTCCATCCAGATGATGGCTCCGCTATATGTGCAAGAATTACATTTTTAAGGGGAACATACAATAAAACCCTAACCCCTGAAGGTCTCTACCTCCTAAAGTAATCTAGCCGCTGACTTCATAAGTTCTTTAAGATAACTTTTAGAACATTAAAAAAGAGAGAGAGAGAGATGCTAGATCTTTGGTGCAAAACCACTAAATCAGAGCTGGATGATGATCTTATCATCATCGCTGGTCGTATGACCACAAAATCCTATAATCCTATGGGTTTCCTAAACTGTCAGATGTACATCTCAACCACAGAAGGATGATCTGTGCTTACGGATGTAGTTACATGAACTTTAGGATGCATTTAAACTGAGTTCCTTTTTACCATTTGATCCTTTCGGGAAATATTTAAGATATGTTTTGAAATAGAATATTCAAAAAGATGTAATAATAATGTTTTTAATACCTTATACCCCTCCCTTCAGCTTAACAATTTAAGCATTGCCAACACAATCAAAGCCCCCTTGTGTGCCCCTTTTCATGATTTCCTCTCAGAGGCAGGTTGCCCTGCAGCCTCCCCATGACGAAGTCTAGTGAGGCTCCATCTCCATCAGTCAGATGCAGCAGCAACTCCCAAGCCTGCCATTCAGAGACCAGGCTTGATGGGCATCCATAATTCAGCTTTTCAAGGGGCCGTGCTTTGGTCTCTCACTTCTGGATCTAGATGACTAAGCTGCATGCTAACTGCACATAAACACTCCCTGCAGTAGAGAAAGCACCAAAGTCCATGCACATCTTTGTGCCTTTGCAAGGGCCTTTGTGACCCCCAGCCTTCCGGTTCATATCCCGCATTCTCCTCTCTCACCCAGCCACATGGCTCAGCTCAAACACCTTTTTTTCTAGGAATATTCTTCTCTCTCACCTCCACCTTTGGGTGATGCTCTTCTGAGATTCTAATACAACCTCTAGCATCACCTTTCATAGTGCATTGTGTAGGGGAGTAGAATTTGCCACCTCAAGGTGTGTCTCTTTGGCATGAGGATTATTTTGGGCTGGTTACTTTTCAGAAACTGCAGACATGGGAGAAGTTCTCAAAAACCAAGTAGAAGTTACCCTTTGTAAGAGACATTTATTTGTAAGGGAAATCTCCACCTGTAAAGGTGTCTCCCCCTCTGTACCAGGAAGAGGGGGGTATGACCTTGTCTCTAGAAACTCTTATCAATGCGGAAGACAAGGACTTAAATCTGCATAATAACCTTATGCTTGTTTACTCTCCTTTTTCTGGTAACTTCCCATAACTGACACCCCCACCCCCAACATCCTCCTTTGTCTTTGGCTGAAGATGGTATTTAAGGTGACGGCTTTGGCCATTCTGGAGACTCACTCAGATTTCCTGGTTTTCTTCCATGTATACATGTTATTAAACTTTGTTTGATTTTCTCCTGTTTTTCTGTCTCATGTCAATTTAATTTGTAACCCAGCCAGAAGGACCTAGAGGGTAGAGGAATTGTCTTCCTCCATGACAATTGTAATTTTTAGCTAACTTGTGTGTCTTTCCTGTAGGTTTCTAGTGCTTTGAGAGCAGGCACTTTATTTTTCTGTCTCCATCTACTGCTACACAGTAGATTCTGAATTCATTCACTGAATGAATGAAGTGAATGGCACACTAAATACACTGAAATGTCAAGAATGATGCTCAGCAACGTAGCAGATTTATTGATGTGTTTGAAGTTTCTTGTCTGGAAATAACGATCCATCAGAGGAGATTCCATTTGCTCTCAAGAGAGTCAATTAAGCTGAAAACCATATGGCCTTGCATTTTCTCTTTCATACGTACCAATTTACTGTACCCTCACCCTACCATTGTGAGAAGAAACTTAAGAGAAAATGTTTTCCTTGCATCATTCTCTCTCTCTCACCCTCCCTTTTCTGTCTGAAATAACAACACTACCAACAGCAACAAGTACAAATACTTTGTCCTTATGATTTATGCCCAAACAGTCTCATGCTGGTGTTCTTTATAACAGTGATAAATCAAAAACACCCTGAAAGTACAACAATGGAGAAAAAATTAAGCAAAGCATGATATATCTACACAGTATCATATTATGAATATTTTTTTAAATTTACAAAACCATGAGAAAATTGTTATAGTATAGTGTTAAAAGAAAGAAGTAGTAAGAAGCAAAATTGTAAGAACTGTATTGTCCTAATTAGTAAAAATTTATGCA